AACTGAATAGAACGCAACCAAACATGGCAAGAAAAGCCATGAATGTTCCTAATGAGGTGCTGACCAAGTGTTGTTACTTTGTAGCCGTACCATCATCCAAGACAATCACCAGCAGGGGACTTAGTTTAACATAAGACCCTTTGGGAAATACATACAAATGCTTCTTCTAGAGGTGCACTGAATGGAATGAAACCAAACATGGCATACACAATGTAGATGTTAATGCCTATGAGGTGCCGATGAAGTGTTGCTACTTTGTTGCCGATTTATTGTTCAAGATGGTCACCAGGTTTTATTTATTAGATTGCGGGCCAATATACAATGCTTATTACCACAAAACACTGTTCTCTAACTTAGTTTGACTCAACTCAATGTTATGAAACTTATACACATGCATGCTTATTACCACAAAATACAGATCAAGTTTGAATTTTGGTGGTGTCACTTCAACCGTTCTAGAGTTATACCCCTCTACAAATGGAAAAATTGCTGAATTTTTCATTTCATTCTTAAGTTTATAACTGTTAGCTGATACACAATACTTATTACAACAAAACTCAGATCATTAACAAATTTTGGTAGCATCACTTTTACCGTTCTTCAGTTATGTCCCTTTATAACTTAATATGATATGCAAGTGGGGGCATCATCTGTGTCCCATGGACACATTCCCCATTTATTATTTACCATGATTACTATTGAAAGAACATGAAGAAGAAATATAATTTAATCAAACAAGGCCACAATCGTCATTAGGGTATCTAGTTTCAAATATGTTTCCAATTACTCGCCGGTTAACCAAGTAAGCCGACACAGCTAAGAATAGAAAATAGGTATAAATGCCAGTTTTGTATTTTATTTTGGAAACCGCTATAAATAGAAAAAATCTGACAGGGGCACAAATTTCACAATGTTGAGCTCTACCTATTGTTTTAACTACAAAACTGTCAAGACGACTTTTTATTTGAGTTATTGCCTTTTATTGACAAGTTTTACTATTTTTTTCATTTTTGCCTTTTATCTTAAACCAGAAAATAGAGAGAAACTTTAAATAGCAAAACTGATAAGCAAGACAAGATCCACAAATAAGTTAACACTGCCAAAATCGTCAGAGTTATTGCCCTTTAATGACATTTTTACCAATTTTCGAGTTTTTGCTTCATATCTTGAAGACTACAATAGATAGATAGAAACTTTTAAAAAGTAGAAATGATCAGCAAGACAAGATATTCCAAAAGGTTTTAGTGTCGAATTCTTCAGTCAACTCATAATTGGAGTTATTGGTTGTAAATTACTAGTACTATATTTTTCAATTTAAGTGTTTTTGCCTTTTATTTTTGAAAACTATAAAAGTTTCTATCTTTTTCAATGATGTGTGTAGTAAAAACTTTATATTACAGGCTTTCAATATGAATTCAATGATAAGTAAAACAAGCAAGACATTTCAGTGTGTGCACTTTTGTTGTTGTTTGCTTTATTTCTTAGTTACTTTAAGGGATAGGACCACTTTGTTTGGTGTATTGAATGATTGTAAGGTGTACATGTCCAGATGGCAGGTTTCATCTGACCATGACCTAATTTTCAGGATTCAGATGTCAATGTTAAGATTTTGAGGTTGGGTCTGTTTCTCAGGTACAACTTGCCATAGGACTGCTATATTTGGTGTGTGGAATGATTGTTAGGTGTACATGTCTGTCTGGCATGGTTCATCTGACTGTGACTTTTTTTATAGAACATTGATAATGTTAAATTTATGTGATACTTGTAGTAAAACCTTTATATTACAGACTTTCAACATGAATTCAATTATACATAAAACAGGTGAGACATTTCAGCGTATGCATTCTTGTTGTTTGGTCTATTTCTTAGATACTATAAGCAATAGGACCACTTTGTTTGGTGTATGGAATGAGTGTAAGGTGTCCATGTCCCAATGGCAGGTTTCATCTGACCTTGACCTAATTTTCATGGTTCATTGGTAATTAATATGTTTTGTGGTCATGTCAGGTATCAGTTACATGTACTATAAATAATATGTCACCTTTATTTGTAGTATGCAATGATTGTAAGGTGTACTTGTCTGACCTTGACCTCATGTCCGTCTTAGCTTGCAGGTTTTATATCACTTTGACAACATTTTTCATGGTTCATTGGTCAATGTTAAGATTTTGTGGTTTGATCTGTTTCTCAGGAATTATTAAAGGGATAAGACCACTATATTTAGTGTATGGAATGTTTGTCTGTCTGGCATGGTTCATGACTTCATTTTCAGGAATCATTGATCATGTTAAGTTTAATATGTGATACTTGGAGTAAAACATTCATTTTACAGACTTTCAACATAAATTCAATCATAAGTAAATTAGGTGAGACATTTCATTTTATGCACTCCTGTTATCAATGGGAACGTAGACAACAGCCAAAGGCCAACAATGGGTCTTCAACGCAGCAAGAAAATCCCGTACCCGGAGGTGGTCCTCAGCTGGCCCCTAAATAAATTGTGTACTAGTTCAGTGAAAATGGACGTCACACTAAACTCCAAAACATATATAAATGAACTAAAATTAAAAAACATACAAGACTATCAAAGACCAGAGGCTCCTGACTTAGGACAGGTGCAAAAATGTGGTGGGGTTAAACATATTTTGTGAGATCTCAACCCTCCCCTATACCTCTAGCCAATGTAGAATAAAGAAACACATAGCAATGCGCACAGTAAAACTCAGTTTAAAAGAAGTCTGAGTCCGATGTCAGAATAGGTAACAAAAGAAACTAAGCAAAATGACAATGATACATAAATTAACAAAGGACTACTAGCAGTTACTGACATGCCAGCTCCAGACCTCAATTAAACTGATTGAAAGATTATGTCTTCATCATATGAAAATCAAGTACAATCCCTCTCATTAGGAGTTTAGTATCATACCATCATAAAATATATGAGAAGAACATAACCCGTATCATGCCAACAACTGGTTTAAGAATAAATGTGTTTATTTCCGCTGCAAAGACCCTATGAGTGATTTAATATTAATACCAAAATATGCAATCCTTAATGACCTGACAACAGTATCGTAACTATATCCTTTCCGAATAAGTCTATTTAAAGGTTTGGTTAGCCTTTGAGGTGAATGACGACATTTTTTTGCTTTGTAAAGAATATCACCATAAAATATTGGATGTGAAATACCTCAACGTATAAGATGTCTGCATGTTGATTTATATTTACAAATGATGTCCTTGTACCGATGATAAAATTTAGTAAATGTTTTGACTAGTTTGTGATATCGAAAACCCTGGTGTAATAGTTTTTCAGTATTACAGAGATTTCTTTCGTTGAAATCAAATACGTTGTTACATACACAAGCGAATCGAACAAGTTGAGATATGGGTAAAGCCATAAAGGTGGTCTGGAAAGTGTGACATTAGGATATAAAATTGAAGTTTTTGATATCTCTATCAATTCACATTATTTTGTTAGCAAACATCTGTATCTTACTACCTCTTTTTATTTGAAATCCATGGTCTTGCTATGTTTTTGTAAAATTGACCTTCCTTGTATATTTTGTGTAAGTTATATTGACAATAGTGCAATCTTTTGTTTTAAATAGTTTCTTATGGGATTAATGAAATGTATCAATACTTAGCTGCACATAATATCTTTCAACATCATTATATCATAGACCAATTCACAGAGATATCCCTGATGTTCTGAAATGTCAGTGCTCTGAGCAAGATCAGTATGTTATAGATGTCCAAAATAAAGTTTTCTTCTAGTAACTTGTGTAAAACGTTTTTTGAACAGCAATTATATTTGTAAACATAATTATTATATTTCAAATGAAATATTTTATGTAGTTGTTGTAAACCCAGATCTTCGTTGACATAATTAAATCCAAATTCAATGTATGTTATTTTGACAATAACCCTTTTTGATAGTTTTTCTGCCTTAATTTTAAAACAGGCCACTCAAAAAACAGGGGGGCAACACTAGCTGATTTTTTAAGTAGGGGAAAACTTATCCAATACAGCTTAATCTTCTAAATGAAGAAGATGACTATAAATCTTGTATACCATATCTTACATGTAGGTTATATTGACGAATAGTGTTTAAATTTAACCTTTTTCAAAATCATTTTTATTAAAGATTTTTTTTCTACTATTGTCTAGGTAACTGATGGTTATTTTTCATTTTACCAAATTATGATTGAATGCTTATATTGCTCACAACACTACCGTCTTTTGGTTGTTATATTGACAAAATGTCAAGTAACTTACTGAAATAAAACAGGAAATCTGGTGTAACATCTGAACACAAAGAGTTTGATCCATTATGTTTATTTTGATATAAACTTAATTCTTGAATGCATGCAAGGGTTCATGTTCATTATTGTTCAGCTAATAATGAAGTCACAAGCTCATAACCAAAACTATCTGAGATCTATCAGATCAAAGTGACAACTATAGAATGCAAGAAAAATAAAGGTGCACTAATTCACAAATCCAAAAGGGGGAGGAGAAATCAAGATAAATAACAAGAAAAGAACAAACCTTAAATAACAACTCAAACCCAATAAATAAGCTTTATTTTAGAGTTGGCAAGGTATACAAACAGAGACAACATAAGCTCTAATGAGCTTTTAACCAACATACTTTTAACCCAATAAAACTATCCGGTGCACTGCAAGAGTTAGCTTAGCCTGATGGTAAACAGACACTTAATGAGTTACTCACAGTATTTAGGGGAACATATTGTTTACTGTTGGTATTTAGGAGTATTGTTAATTAGGCTCACTTGAACTGACTTTGTACTTTGGTCAAAGGTTGCTCATTTAATATGTACAGTTGTGATACTCTTGGCTATGTCAGATGGTGACTTTATTGATCAACTGTTTTCAACAATTTTTTTTCAAGAGCTTATTAAATCAACACTTTTGAAAGTAAAGTATAAAACACATTAACATGATTAATGTATGACAATACTAATAATTAAACCACTATTCAAGAATCAAACCATAAATCATTTATTTAAACAAATTAAAAACATTTTAAAGTTCATTCTGCTGTCTATTCCACTGTTCATACTCAGTTGATTTATCTCAAAGATCTGAAAAGCAAAGAAATAAAGTTAAAATAGTTTTATACATGATTTTAAATTGAAATGAATGAAAATGTGAGTCAAGGCTCCATGTTGAAGGCCATAACGTGACCTTATAGGCTATTATTGTTTTTTTTTACTTCTTTAGGTCTTAGGTGGAGAGTTGTTTCTTTGGCAATAATACCACATCTTCTTATGTTTATGATGTTGTATGTTATCCATGTTGAAAACAGCATTGGAAATAAGTACCACTTCACATTGATTTGCATTGTGTCTACATTCATGTTTTTATTGTCAAATTCAAGGGTATGGGGAGGTTGAGTGCTTAAAAACAAACTTGTTGCACCGTCTCAAGACAGAAACTTGCATGTTATAGTCTTGTGACAATTTTCTGTTTTCTTGTTTATTGTTGATGTTCTTTTGATAAAAGGCTGTATTTACATCTATAAAATTAATGTGTCAACTAACTCTCTTTTGGACCATGGTTATATTGACTTGAATCCTTTAGTTGTCAACTTATGCTCTATTTCAAAGAAGCAGGAAATATGCTTACAATTTCATTAAAAGGCTTAATTTTTTTATTGTACAAGAGATTTGTAGGCTAAAAGCCAAAGTCAACATATTTCAGTAGTAATAGTAGCTTTAGGACTACTGAGGGAGTAGGAGTTATATTGACCCTTACATTAAGGTGTCAACTAACTCTCTTAATGACCCTGGTTATATTGACTATGCATATAATTGTCAACTAACACCCTGTGAAAAAGCACTGAAAATTACTTCACCCTTTTTAAATGTATATTAACTTTCCCCCTTTATTATCTGTAAGTTGAAATAGAAGTTAAATGAAAAGAATGGTGCAGTATATCTCTACAAAGATCATCTACATCCTAGGTGTTATATTGACTGGGTTGACAAAATTGGTCAAGTAACGGTCATATCGATGTTACCGTAAAAAGTGAACGAATGGTTCGACTTGGGTGCTTGAATGCGTTATATTCGTTAGTTCTTATCATTCTAAGCATATTTTTTTGGCAAAAATTATATAAAACAGTGTCAATTTGACAAAATGGTTTGGTCGTTATACTTTGTTTGACGCCCTGGTCGTTATTAGTTTGACATTTTGCTAAAAACTTACCATTGAGTTCTTCTTCCATTTTCATCCATGAATGATAGTGATGCTTACATTTAGTTTCGTATATAGGGTTACACTAATGTCCTGACAATGTCCTGACAAAGTCCTGACGGATATGAAAATGCTAATTACGTTTTCATTATTTAAAGGATTTACTTTAAATTTGGAACCAAGCAAGATGACAACATTTATTTAATAATTAAAAGAAAAAAAATTATAAAAAATATTTTTAAGAGTTAGAAAACTTGACCTGACCAACTTCGACTTTGAAATCACTAATGTCCTGACCGATATGAAACGGCTTAATACTTTTTTTATTATTCACAGGATAGACTTCAAATTCGATATCAAGGAAGATTAAAACATTTAATACAAAAATATAAGAAAAAAATGAAAAAAAAATAATTTTTAGAGTTAGAAAACTTGACCTGACCAACTACGACTTTGCCGCGACTAATGTCCGGACCGATATAAAACTGCTAATGTCTTTTTTTCTTTGGAAGGATTGACTTCAAATTTGACACCAGACAAGAAAGTAATATTGATTTAATACTTATTTGAAAAGAATTGGGAAAAAAATACTTTAAGGGTAAAAAAAACTTGACCTGACCAACATCGACTTTGTCGTGACTAATGTCCCGACCGATATAAAAGTGCTAATACTTGTAACATTGTTGGTATGATTGAGTTCTTATTTGAAACCAAGTCAAATTATAACGTTTTTTTTTAATACTTTTTGTAAAGTAATTGGAAAACAATATTTCATACGAAATAAAAACTTGACCTAACCACCTTCAATTTATTAAACTTAATACACAAACAAAAACGTTTTTAGTTCTTACCTTATATTGTCATTGAATTTATATTTATCTTATCCATAAAACACAACATCCAAAGCAAATAAATTTTGTTAAATGAAAAGATAGGGGAAATATGAGTACAAGTTGCTGACTGTGAGTATTGTTTACCCCTCATCACAACTCTACTTTATTTGATTTGATTAATAAGTGTGACTAATGAAACTAATTATTGAATTATTAAACCCAATTAAATAATTATAAAAGTGAAATGTAATCAGCTACCTACATTAATGATTTTAATAACTAAGTAAATGGAAAGGTTTTTTTTTCTTGATGTAACAATTAAATAAAAAAAACTGTATAAAAGTAAACGCAAAGGAAGGTGATATGAACCATTAAAATTAAATCACACCTATATTAATTACTATAATCACAAATTGGAATGTTTTCTTTCCTATCTGATTATTTATTTTTTGTTTATCTAGTTATTGAGTGATTATACATGTCATATAAAGGCAGGAAATGAGATTCGTATTGTTTAAAAATAATGTATATACAAGCATATAAATTACAATTATGTTAGAATCACAAAGAAATAAAATAAATTAATACACACAATTTTCACTAACAGAAAAAAGAAGACATTCAATTAAATTGAGTTCAATGAAGATAAATGGAAAAGAACAATTTAGTCACGATTACCTACCACAGTGAAAAACGTTCATACCTAATAGATAGGAGTTAACACAATACAATACAATATGATACAAACTACAATACAATACAATACAATACAATACAATACAATACAATACCAATACAATACAATACAATACCAATACAATACAATACAATACAATACAATACAATACAATACCAATACCAATACCAATACCAATACCAATACCAATACAATATGATACAAACTACAATACAATACAATACAATACAATACAATACCAATACAATACAATACAATACCAATACCAATACCAATACCAATACCAATACAATACAATACAATACAATACAATACAATACAATACAATACAATACAATACAATACAATACAATACAATACAATACAATACAATACAATACAATACAATACAATACAATACAATACAATACAATACAATACAATACAATACAATACAATACAATACAATACAATACAATACAATGTTCAAGCATCGCGATGTTCATCACAGTACCAATCTTCTGAAACTCCTGAACATGTCTGATGAACCCACTTAGTACAGCTGATCCGTCCTCTTTTCGCTTCACATCCAATCATGTTCTCAAAAACATCTGGTTTACCACACTGACAACTACACTCAATTCTTCTGGCAAAAATCCTAACAAAGTCTGTACTTGATGTTGTATTTTGAGGAAATGGTGTAAAATGTCCTTTTTCCAAACACGATATTAAATGTGGTCGCATGTATTTCTCAATAAACTTCGTACGTCTTTGAGTGTTGAGTTTTTCTTTATGACAATATTCCACCATGTTGGCAATAGCATAAACACCACAGTCATATCCATTTGTTTGTTGTTGAACATCAGGTAATTTAACAAGCAAGTTCTTTTTTCCATGAGAATAAATAGCTGATAACTGAATTTCTGTCGATGGTGTTAATCTGAAATCTTTACTGTAACTATCTAACACATAAACGGCACTATCCTTTTTAGTCTGAAGAGATGTAATCCAATGAGATTTTCCGGTATGGTGAATTTGCACACATGGTGTATCTTGACTGGTGAATGTCCCGAAATTTTCTGTCCAACACTGTTTATCTTCATCAAAAAGAGGCGCTAAACCTGTTGATTTAAATCCAGATATAATTGGAAATTGTTTCGCTAGCATATTCATGCACACATTTATAATTTCGGAACATAGCCATGAATTATTCTCCAACATAAGTTTGTGTTCTGTATTTAAACTTGCAACCCAAGGTGTATGGTTTATACTTTTAGCGTCTGTTGTTAATTTACGCTTTTTCATCGGAAGTCGGCAGGTACTCTTCGGTGACACGGACGGCGATATTAGCTGTATTTCATCCTCATCCTCCGAAAATCGCAATTTCTTTCCTTGTTTAGGTGTATCACAAGTGTTCATATCCTGTTCCTTACATTTGAATTTATTTTTTTTCTTCGATTTAGCTTAATAATAGCTGGTCACAGTTTACGTTCATAATTAATTAATTGGATTAACAAGTAGGTGATTAATCTAATCATAACAAGCCCCTAATCAGATTAACAATTAGAGCAATAACAGAAAGTTAACCTGCATAAACAATACTCACATTCAGCAACTGGTTCTAATATTTCTCTTTCGTTTCATTTCAACAGTATCTTTCTGCGTTCAATGTTGTAATATCATTGTGATCGGATATTTTCAATTTCAATAATTTAAGGTAAGAGGTTAACATTTTCTTTCAGTTAGAAAATTGATCAGGACAAGTTTGACAATGTCAGGTCAATATATTTTTACCCTTGCAATACTTGTTCAAATTTTTTTATTTTTGTCATTTAAATATTTAATAAAATATTGATATTTATCAAACTTAAAGACATTTATTTAAGAAATATACATAGTCTTTCTATTTTTTAAACGAACATGTCTTTTTTTGGTGAATAGCCTATGTTGGTCAGGTCAAGTTTTTTGGTCTTTTGAATATTTGTTTTCTTTTCATTTCTTTTTATTTCTTTGTTAAATGTCGAAATCTTCCTTGCAACTAAATTTGAAGTTAATCCTTCCAAAGATAAAAAAGAAATTAGCAGTTTTATATCAGTCCGGACATTAGTCGCGGCAAAATCGTATTGGTCAGGTCAAGTTTTCTAACTCTAAAAATTATTTTTTTTCATTTTTTTCTTATATTTTTGTATTAAATGTTTTAATCTTCCTTGATATCGAATTTGAAGTCTATCCTGTGAATAATAAAAAAGTATTAAGCCGTTTCATATCGGTCAGGACATTAGTGATTTCAAAGTCGAAGTTGGTCAGGTCAAGTTTTCTAACTCTTAAAAATATTTTTTTAATTTTTTTTCTTTTATTTATTAAATTAATGTTGTCATCTTGCTTGGTTCCAAATTTAAAGTAAATCCTTTATATAATGAAAACGTAATTAGCATTTTCATATCCGTCAGGACTTTGTCAGGACATTGTCAGGACATTGTCAGGACATTAGTGTAACCCTCGTATATATAGCAATTTTGAAATGAAACAAAGTATTTTTTTCTCCCTGGATAAACTCTTTCCGTTATTAATAAGGAATAAACATTTACGTACGTTATACGTTATTTTGACATTACAAACTTGCCATTCTATGCTTCTCATAAAACGGAATACGAAACTAAAATTAGAACTATTTGAAACAGCCGAGATACGACGGCGCATGAATATGACAGGAACCAATCAAATGTTCCGCAGATGACGATATCGCGGAAAACCCCGTGCGTTATTTTTACCATAGTAGTCTATTGTCAATATAACATTACTAACCCTGTCGAAATAATCGTTTCTTTGATTAATTTTACTGCATTTCACGCAAAACTTTGACGGATTTATAGTGCAACAACACTTTTCTGACGATTTAACTTACTTTCCGTTTTTCTTTTGCCCATAAAAACAACCAGGTATATTTTTTGTTAGAAGGGGGTTTCCATGTCACGCTTGGGACACAGGAACGTACAGATCTACGTTTGACAAACTTCAATAACAAGACACATTGAATTAGCGGATATTTGATATTTATCAAATCTTCTACTTCATCATGTCACTGATGCTCAATAACAAGTTGTAATCAAATAACATATATTAAATATTTTAAAATTGGGATTTAAGCTTCAGATGGTTATTTGACCAATTTGGAGCACCTTTTTGGCTTTACCCATATATAAACACCATAAAATGGTGACAAGGGAACGTCACCATCTAAAAATGGATAATTAACAATAGGAAATGAAAAATCAATAAATTAAATACTATAAAATAACAAAATAAAATTTTAAATTTTATAAACAAAAGCTGTATCATAGTGTGTAACACTGTTATGGTCACTACTTTTACTCGACACAATCATCATTCCGGTTTCTCTGTTGATTTCTATTGCCCAAGGACTTTTGATTCCATCATTCATTGATAAAATTGTCTTACAGGTTTTACCATCTGGTGACACAACCACAATACTGTTGTTTCCAGAGGAAGCTATATAAACAAAACCGTTCTTGTCTAATGTAAGTCCTCGTGGTCTGGCAATGTCTTG